ATGATAACGAAACTACACATCCGAAGATGAGGAGACGACGAACGTTTCGGTCCGTCATGGACCATTATCAAGGTCTATTTATAATAAATGTTAGTCGTAGCAGTGACCGTTCTGTGTTTGCAAACACTGACGCAACCCCTGGAAAAAAATGAAGCTTTCCTTGACAGCTTAAATGCTGACTTCTTAAGACACCCACGTCTAAGTATACAGGTAGAGGACTGCATATTAGGGAAAAAGTGTCATTGTCCGTAGTCAGAGAGTGAATGAAGTCATTCCTCGGCAATCCAGATGACTTCAAATCAGTAGGGGGGGTCTCCTCGTCGAACCGCGAGTGAAAACAAGACCAATAAGAACTTATCGATATCTCAAGGTAGGATAATCTTCTTAGCAACCCTCTGTGGAGACGATGTGCATGTGGAGCCTAATCGGATCTTTGAATATTCTTCCCCACGTGACCTTCAGAGGCTGAATCTCGTTATATCTCCGTGGCAACTCACCTGAATCTTAACACAGTTAAGTAATTACGTTATTGCCATAGAAGTAGATAGGAGTAAATTGAAGACTCGTCAAGCAATTGCATTGGTGCAAAGGTTTAACCGCGAGCATCTGTGTCAAGAATTTTGGGATAAATTCTCTGAGTGTTAATTGAGGCAGTGACGTTCACTTTTTCACTGTGGAACACTGAAATATGGAGGTACCAGTGCACAAGTCTGGGGTTTTGCTGAACAGTCATTTTTTTGGTTAATATTCAGAAAAGGATGAGTGTCTTGGTGTGACTGTTATAATGAAAAGACATCAGGGTTGCTACCTAAGCCGCTTCGGTTCGAATCCTTGAGGGGGTCATTAGAAATTATGTGCATTTCTGTTATGGTGTGAATATTAACCAGTGTGTTGATTCTGCGTGATCTATTAAACGTAATAGGAGCATATTAACATATTAACACCTGGTCATTATCACAGAGGGAAGTAAATTTAATATAAGAACCAAAGAAACTCCTCCTTGGCCAATTCTCAGCCGGTTCCCACCACAACGTAAGAAATGCAATAGTTTTGCTTAACCAGAAACATTCGCATGTCAGAAACTCGCCAAATCCATCGCTAGCGATGCCCTGATAACGTCATTTTTTAAGGTGCTTAATATTTTTACTAAAACCCGACAATGTTGACGAATTGATCGTTAAAAAAACACTTTTTAACGATTTCTCAATATCCCACAAAAACCACTCACATTTCTCAATATGTGAGAAAAGAAGGTGAAGCAGCATTATAAACAGCAGGAATTGGAATACAGGAGTGAAGCCTCTCATCTAGCCCTACCGTCCCGTCCAATAATACACTCAATTTGACGACAAAAGGTTACGGGGTGGGGGGGGGGGGGATAATTCTACCTTTGTTTATCGCCGTTCGTGTGATGCCTTACAAAAACGCCCAAGCAATCCGGCCAGGGCGGGGTCGGATCATAACAAAAACAAGCCGTTGGTTGGCTTAATCAAGGCAGCTGACTCCGGTTTTGACGTGACTGTGTCGTGAGGAGGTGGGTTGGGAACAGACCTCTGTTGGGTTGATGCTGCTGCCTGAGGGTTTTGGGTTAGTGTCGAACGCTATAAACACTAATGACAATGCTAAAACGCCCGTAACACAAAATCATAATGCTGTTACGGGTTCTATTGAACCTGCGCTTAAGCTGATATTTGAAGATGTTGCAATGTAATTTTAATTTTTTTAGCACATGACGACATCGGTAATTATAGTTTGTACTGTACCAAACCGGGAAGACTATGTTGCTCCGTCACCTCGCCTAATAGCATTTCTTATTTTAATTATGAGGACTAAAACTGCTATTACTATTACTGCTGCTGTTATTGTTACCATTTATCACTGTTGCGTTGCTTGAACCATGTATTACTGAATATTCTCACACATTCCAACCTAACAAAGGCGTTCTAGAGCTAAATATGTAAGGCGTAAAAGTCATTGCCGCAGGTTTGCAATTTAAGACTTTATAATGTCAAATGTCTTGAAAAATTGGACCTAATGCTTGAGGTTATCGAAGTTTCTGCGAGCTCTCCATTTTGCCAGCGATATTCTAAGCTAAAGATTAGACCTTGGAATCACATATTATCTCTGCTGCGAATTTCAACATCTAGTGCGAGATTTGATCTTGTCCTGCTGCTTTGTGCTTCTCTAATTCTTCCTGGTGCTTCTTTACCTCCTCCTCCTTGGTTACTGAAGTATGCGCAAAGGTTTCCAGTCTTCTATTATCTCTTCTCCCAGCCTTCCACTCTGGCTTAACCATTAAGGTCACCCGAATCTTCTATAGAGCGCTTCACAGACCTTTTCACAATGTAGACACATTTGGAAACAGGTTTCTGGGATGAAATTATAGTTTATGATGACCACACCACACACCAGAAGATGATGAGGATGGGAAGGGAATTATCAAGGGAAAAGCACCAAGTCATTACGACTATATAGCACTTGGAAGGGGTCAGGATGAGGATTTGGGAGGGGGGACGGGGGGATAGAATGGTGCCCAACCACTTGGACGGTCGGGGATTGAACGCCGACCTGCATGCAGCGAGACCGTCGCTCTACCGTCCACCCCAAGTGGACGGTCAGTCCTGGGGCATTATCAAGTCGATTGTGGTAATGGTCGACTATCACAATCGATCTGATAATGAATGGTCCAGGATGGACCGAAACGTCGTCATCTCCTCATCTTCTGGTGTGTGGTCGTCCTATCTTCAGCCACGCTATTGTGACTCATCGTCTACAATTTGGCATTTATTTTCTCACTTCTCGTGTTAATTATTAAAGTAGATTTCGTCCTGCACTCCAGCTACTGTCACCCGAGAGGCGGACCAATCCAGCTTACCTCACTGGCACAAATTTGGTGGGATGATGTCGCGAGTGGCAGACTGAATTGCACTCGACTGTTCCCCATAAGACTGCTTGAGTCACCCCTGCCTACTTGAGTTTCATGTTCTCGTCAATTGCTATTTAGTTCTCTACAATGTGTATATCAAGCACTGTTCTGATTGTGATCTAGTGCTATGTAGTCGTAATGGTTTGGCGCTTTCCCATTGATAATTCGTTCTGATTGTAATCTGTGAACGCATATGTGCATTCTGTATAGGTGTGTACTCATCTAGTTGTATTCGCCTGGTTGGGCTTGCTGTGGTTGAGTTTTGGCTCTTTAGTCCTGCCTCGCAACTGTCAGTCTACTGGTGTATAGGTTCCTGGGCTTACTGAGGTCTATCATGCCTACATTTAAAACTGTATATGGAGTCAGCCTCCACTACATCACTTCTTAAAGCTTTCCATTTGTCAACTACTCTGACACTTCAAAAATTCTTTCTAATGTGTCTGTGGCTCATTTGGGCACTCAGTTACCACCTGTGTTCCGTAGTGCGTGTGCCCCTTGTGCTAAATAATCTGTCTTTATCAACCCTATCAATTCCTTTGAGAATTTTGTATGTGGTGATCATGTTCCCCTAACTCTTCTGTCTTCCAGTGAAGGGAAGTTTAATTCCCGAAGTCTCTCCTCGTACCTCATACCCCTCATTCCGGGTACTAGTCTGATGGCAAACCTTTGAACTATCTTCAATTTAGTCGTGTAAACTATGGACTCCAGATATGGACTCCATGCTGGAGCTGCATACTCCATGATTGGTCTGACATATATGGTATACAAAGTTCTGAACGATTCCTTACACAAGTTTCTAAAGGCCGTTCTTATGTTGGCCAACCTCACATATGCCGCTGATGTTATCCTCTTGATATGGGCTTCAGGGAACAGGTCTGACGTTCGAACATTTCTCGAACAGTGCTTCGCTGATGATCTTCGTTCGAATCGCAACGCTGCAAACGCTTCGCCCAGATGTTACACAAGAGACCCGAGACACCCAACCTAACCTAACCAGTCCCTAACCTAACCAATCCCGAACCTAACCTATCTCTAACTTAACCTATCTCTAACCTAACCTAACCAATCCCAAACCATGCATAAAATTCTAACATAATACTATTTTAATAATATATTAAGAAAATCGAATACTCAGATTGTTAAAATAATATGTCTTTAGAGATTGAAATTGAAATAAGTTTATTGAGGTTATTTAACCAATAAATGATTTTTGGAGATAGGCACCTGTCACTTGGACGAGTCAAACGTGAGAACAGTCCGCTCTCTCTCTCTCTCTCTCTCTCTCTCTCTCTCTCTCTCTCTCTCTCTCTCTCTCTCTCTCTCTCTCTCTCTCTCTCTCTCTCTCTCTCTCTCTCTCTCTCTCTCTCTCTCTCTCTCTCTCTCTCTCTCTCTCTCTCTCTCTCTCTCTCTCTCTCTCTCTCTCTCTCTCTCTCTCTCTCTTCTCTCTCTCTCTCTCTCTCTCTCTCTCTCTCTCTCTCTCTCTCTCTCTCTCTCTCTCTCTCTCTCTCTCTCTCTCTCTCTCTCTCTCTCTCTCTCTCTCTCTCTCTCTTCCTTCTTTCTCCGTCACCTTCCCCTCTCATTACTACCCCTCCCTCCCCTCACACACTCACACATTTCAGCCGATTTAACCCTTCCAGGGGACCCCATCCCGGCACTTATCACCTGTGCTCCTGCTATTGCGTTCTCGAGAACATTTCTTCCTAATTCTGATTTAGCGATCGTAACCCAGCTTGGGACCACGGCATGAGGCGTTCCGCCCCAGCGTAATTGGTGGCGATGTTTACGTGTGTGTTCGATTTATCACCGGGAAGACCTCTCTTTGGAGCATAATGCAAATGGTTTAATGTGTGTGTGTGTGTGTGTGTGTGTGTGTGTGTGTGTGTGTGTGTGTGTGTGTGTGTGTGTGTGTGTGTGTGTGTGTGTGTGTGTGTGTGTGCTAGCGTCTGTGTGTTGTGCTTGCGTGTGTGTGTGTGTGTGTGTGTGTCATTCCATCCCTCTCATATAATGTCATATCTATTGTTGTACCACCTCCATCACTGTGCCTCTCCATCACTGTAACTCTCCATCACTGCAGCACGAGCTGGTGGTAGCGGCGGAGAGCGGCGGCGGGGAGGCAGTTCGGGCCATCGTGCAGGTCCGAGTTCAAGACGTCAATGACAACGCCCCGTACTTCCTGCACCCCGACCCGATCTTCACGGTCATCGAGGAGGACGACCGTGACCTGCCCACCACCATCACTACGGTGAGGAGAGGGGGAGAAGGGGGGGGGGTGATGGATAAGGAGGGGGGATGGAGAGTGAGAGGGAGGGAGGGAGATGAGGGTGATTGGGTAGGGTGATGTCGTGGGGGGGGGGGGATAAAAAGGGTGACAAAATAGGTCTTCGAACAACGACAAAAATTAAAAATTTCTATATAACTGGGCTACCAGTCACCGAGACGCCTATATATAGTTCTATCTTTTCAAAGCTGACAATTTAAAAAAAGCTCTCCAAAAGGAACATGCCACAATGTTTCCTGTGTGACCTGAATGCCAAACACGAAGCCTCGGGTCACGCGAAAAATAATCAGAGAGGCAAAGCAATGCACAATATCACAAGGAACGGAAATATAGTTCATCTGAACCCGTCTTGCCCAGCTTGAATTAGACAAGGGCAAATTGACCAACCAGACAGAATATTGCATAACAAAGGGCTTTCTAAACTCTCGGATTGAAAGCCCGGCCCGTCAAGCACCATGTAGTGACGACCTGCCAATAAAACTGCCATTATTAACGAACCTAATACCAAGACCCGCCACAGCTACAACGATAATTGGCATTTAAAAAAAGAGAAAGTGGAGAGAAAATCAGTCTTACAGCCTTCAGATGGAAGGAAAGGTCGATCATAAATACTGAATTAGACAGATAATTAATCACAATACCAAATGCTTGTACACAATGCTAATGAACACCACATCCCTTTAGGGTATAACACACCACTCTCACATCCTCCCGCATCTGTTGTACTCTGCAAAATTCTAGTTAAATATAACAATCTCCTGTAACTTACACAAATCCACGGCTGGTCCAGACGAGTGGAAAAGCTGCAAGATTTATGAAAAATAGATTACACCAATAAAAGGGGTTATTTAACCAGCCGAATCCAAACTCATCATCGAACAATTTCAAGAATTTATTAAATATTGGGAGCAGCTTTTCAGAATGAAACCAGAGGACTGAAGATGTACTTTGAAAAGCAGAGACAAAATTTAACACTATACAACATGAATTCTCACATCACAGGGAGGCCTATACAGCGCTTTTCCTGACCTTTGAAGGTCATCTATAATACCATGACGAGGAAGGAGCAGTTTATTTCAGTGTTTAGAGGCGTATTGAAAGTCTTAGACAAGTTCTGGTTCAAAGGTTTAAAATCGAAGATATTGCTTTTATCGATTCCAGTAGATTTACTGCTATTCTGTGCAAGTTCATTCTATCAGAGATGGGACGCCCCACTCCCACAGCTTGTGTCCCAAGAGCCTGAATATACTCAAGGGTAACCTATTCAACAATTCACAATTCAAACATAAAAACAGATCTGAAAATCCCTATGCAAAACGCTCTACATATTTCCCTAAAACATCACCTAAAATAGAAAAAGGAAAATCATATACGTTAACATCGGTATGAATATACAAATATTCAAAGCGTTATGGTAAACACACCCACGTATGCTGATACTCATTTCAAGAACCTCACAAAACACTCACCAACCATCACGCATCAGAGAGTAAGCATAACTTGGCTATCAAACATATATCCATTGTGTCAGCAGGGCGGTCAGTTCACCTGCTATAACAACATCGTGTCAGCAGGGCGGTCAATTCACCTGCTATAGCAACATCGTGTCAGCAGGGCGGTCAATTCACCTGATATAGCAACATCGTGTCAGCAAGGCGGTGTAGTCCGCCTGCTATAGCAACATTGTGTCAGCAAGGCGGTGTAGTCCGCCTGCTATAGCAACATTGTGTCAGCCAGGCGGTGTAGTCCGCCTGCTATAGCAACATTGTGTCAGCCAGGCGGTGTAGTCCGCCTGCTATAGCAACATTGTGTCAGCAAGGCGGTGTAGTCCGCCTGCTATAGCAACATTGTGTCAGCAAGGCGGTGTAGTCCGCCTGCTATAGCAACATTGTGTCAGCAAGGCGGTGTAGTCCGCCTGCTATAGCAACATCGCGTCAGCAAGGCGGTGTAGTCCGCCTGCTATCATAAACTCTCATTATAATCCACATTTCTTGAACTTTCCTTCACCTGTACCTCTCCATCACCTTCACACACTAAAGAAGAGAAGAGGTGTGGAGAGTGATGAGAGAGAATGGCGAGGGGTGAGATTTGTGGGAATGACTTAGAGAGGGTTGGAAAAAGCAGAGAAGAGAAGAGCAGGGAAGAGAAGAAGAAGAAGAGAGAAGGAAGAGCGATGGGTGGAGGTAGGATAGAAGAGATGAAAGATGGCGAGGAGAGAGATGGAATAAGAGGGGATAGAGGTAGAGAATGAGAGCGAGAGGGAGTCTGAAAGCCGAAGCTAGAGCAACGCAGCCCACACACACACAAGAGAGAGAACTGGAAAACGCATTTTTCACTCTGGCAAATAAATTAGTCAAATAGCACAGCTTGACGGCTCATACGTAGAACTTGAGTTATCCTGGCCACGGGCTAAGTTACTGACCTGCTGCATGTACAGGAGTTTAGGTCGTCGCTCTAAGGGTCGTTATCCTTAACATTAAATGACGCGAGGAAAGTTATTTAAAACACCTTTTCAGAACACTGGAAACCTGGTTAGATAGGATGGAAAGTGGGTTCGATGTTGAATCGAGTACACACACACACACACACACACACACACACACACACACACACACACACACACACACACACACACACACACACACACACACACGCACGCACGCACGCACACACACACACCCTCACTCATGCGCTCAAGTAAATAGCCACTGCAATGAACTAATGATGATCGAAAGACTAGAGCTTCAGAGCAGATGCTCGACCATGTAAACTCAACTAGGTGAGTACATTTAAGTGAATACAACTAGATGAGTACACACATTCATTTTTAAATGCATGAATCATACCGTAATTGTAAACAAATATTTTACTGTGGCCATAAATTAAATGCATTTCCGCAGGTCAATGCATGTGCAGGAATTTGATGATGCAAAAATGTATGTTCAGTGTGAGTGTGTGTTTGTGTGTGTGTGTGTGTGTGTGTGTGTGTGTGTGTGTGTGTGTGTGTGTGTGTGTGTGTGTGTGTGTGTGTGTGTGTGTGTGTGTGTGTGTGTGTGTGTGTACTGTGTATTTATATGTAATATATATAATTTCGTGCAATGAAACTGTAATTTAATATTTATTAGGCACATGTTTAATGAAGTACATTAATGGTGTCTATTTAAGTGTTCACGGAAATCCTTGTTGTATTTTTTGTATTTGTGTAAAGAGTTAGGAAGAAATAGAGTCGTAAAGATGTGAAGTGAGGGAGAGGCAGAGGTAGGTAGGATGGGGCAAGGGGAATAGAAGTAGAGGGGAAAGAAGGAAAGGAGAACGAGTTGAAGAACGAGTGAAGGAGAGATTGAGAGCTTAGGAGAGATGGTAAGAGACTGAGAGAGGTAGGAAGAGAGGCTGAGGAAGAATGGTGGGGGGGGGGGAGGAGGGAGGGAGGATGACTGTGAGAAAAAAAAGAAGGAGGAAGAGGAAAAGGGAGAGACTGATACAGGTAGAAAAGCTGTTATCAGCCGCTAGAGGAATTGAAGATCGACCAATTGTGGCTCTGGATATAGAACGCCAAAAAAACATGAGAATTATAGGAGCTGCAGAAGTCCTGTTGCTCCATACGAAGCAGCTCCTATCTATCTCAAACCAAATTCATTTATAAACGTCTAACCTACGTTAGAAACAATTCAGCGGATCAACGTCTTCCATATTGCCCAGTAATTTGTCCCATAAATCTTGAACCCTTTCTTCCCAAACCAGTATATACCCAGGGCTTTCCTAAAAAAAAATATATATATAAAAAGTTTTTTGTTCAATTTTGTATTGTTATCTTTAAAACCTTATTTATAACCCCTTTGTTATAGCTTTTCATCCATTTATAAACATTAACCATATCCAACTCCCCAGTCACCTAAATCCTTCGATTTTCTAAATGATGTAAATAACGCTTTGATTAGATATGATATCACAATTATCTGGCAATACTGCATATATAATCTCTTAGATAATCTAATAACACTTGGCATCTCTGGCTCTGTGATACATCCAATCGGTGATTATTTTCAAAGTAGTGATCTATAGTCATAATGGCGAATAGCACTTTTCCTCTAATAATTGTCTTGATTAGCTTATTCTCAAAGCTACGACCTCCCTGAGGTCGGTCTTAAGAGGAGCAGAGGACGAAGGTCCCTCGGTGACAGAGTTCAACAGAGTTGTTGACGTGTTCGGTGCATTGCAATATTATCTTAGTGTCATTAAGAACATGTGCTCGGTCAGTCCACTTGTACCGGTTATCTTGAGAGGTTATCTTGAGATGATTTCGGGGCTTTAGTGTCCCCGCGGCCCGGTCCTCGACCAGGCCTCCACCCCCAGGAAGCAGCCCGTGACAGCTGACTAACACCCAGGTACCTATTTTACTGCTAGGTAACAGGGGCATAGGGTGAAAGAAACTCTGCCCATTGTTTCTCACCGGCGCCCGGGATCGAACCCGGGACCACAGGATCACAAGTCCAGTGTGCTGTCCGCTTGGCCGACCGGCTCCCTATGCAGCGACGGTATAGCTTCTAGTAGGATCGCGTTCGAGCCTCGCCAGTACAACATGGAGTCTGTAACAGTTCCCTAACTTCGTTCTCTAATCCCTTCGGCCATCGTATCCTCATCTTTCTCAAAAGTGCTGTACAGTCAAAGACTAGCATAGTACTTTTCCGCACAAATTCCCTCTCATCACAAGTACTAGACAAAGTAGAAGCTCTGGCCTTAACCGATGGATACACTTGCATTTTAAGAGATCAGTTCATAATTCCAGACTTGGAAATGAGCTGATGAAAGGTTGCTTGTGGAGGTAGAGTAATTATCAGCAAGGTCCACCAAGCACGTATATGACTATAGCAACTGCAAGCAATGTGTTGATATACTGAAGCAGCTTATGTCTATGCCTGGAATTATAAACTGATCCGTTATAGGAATTATAAACTGATCCGTTATAGGAATTATAAACTGATCCGTTATAGGAATTATAAACTGATCCGTTATAATGCCGGTGTGTGTCCATCTCTTGACCAGCGCTTAGAAATAGCACGGACAAAATAATTGATATCTTTTAGAATCCAAGTCACAACAAAATATAAATAACTAGGCAGACTGAGAGAGCCCGTGGCAGCAACAGTGGAAAAGAAGATGATGAATGAGGGAGAGGAATAAATTGAGGGATAGGAACAGGTTGAGATAGGAGGCGAGGAATTGAAACGAGAGCAGGGAGAAGCAAGGGGGCCGGGGGCTCCGAAGGGGTAGCCAGGAACTGAGAGAGAGAGAGGACGGGGTAATGTTTCGAAGGAGGTTATTAAGAGCTTAAACGATGCGATGGTAATGCATGCTTATTGATGGTTGATTTGCTCTTGTGCTCAAAACGTGTTTGGTATGAATTTATTGCAATTGGTTATTACACAGGCTGGTCTCCTGTTGTCGTGTCCTGCACTGAAGGTTGGTGGTTTTGTCGTGTCCAGTACCGGAAACTGGTCACATGTTGTCGTGTGCTATTTCGCGTGATCATGGTGCTGACATAATTGGGTTTTGGGTGTGATATTCAGCGCTCTATTCCCATGCAATACGTGAGAGAGCGTCAAAGTCCAACATAGCAGCATCTACTAGTACACTATTACGTAGCTGATGCGGCTAGTTGTCTCTCCTTCCCTTCCATGCATTTATGTTCCACTGTCCCTAAGCCAAATAAACGATTAACTAAGAATTTGACTTTCAAATTGCAATTCTGACAGCCTTCCTGTTTTCCCTTGAGCAGCCTCCAATCACAGTGCACCGCAGAGCCTGTTTCGGTCTACTCTTCTCCCAACTACACTCCCTCCCACTCCCCCTGCTTACCCCCTGCTTACCCCCTGTTTACCCCCTGCTTACCGCCTACTTCCTTGACAGCTTGCCACGGAGGCAGGGGAAGGAGGGGAAGGTGGAAGGGGAAGTGGGTAAAGAAGAAGGTAGAAGGGGCAGTGGGTGGGGAAGAAGATGGAAGGGGCAGTGGGTGGGGAATGTGGTGGAGGATAGCACATGGGCAATACCCCCTCACGTAGAGTGAAGGTACTGGAGGCTGGGATGCGTGGGCGGCATAAGCTGGTGCTGGGAGAGATGGGGTAGATTAATCAACCCCCCAATAATGGACGGATGGATGGAGCAGGTGCTTAGAGAGCGCCCAGTTGAGACGGGGGGAGGGGCTCTGAAGCACTGTTTGGGGCAGTGAACCCAGACAGCGTCTGGTTGGGAGTGTCGAGTTGTAGCAGTGTCCAGTTGGCGTAGTGATACACACTCCTCACGCTGTCTGCTCGCCTTGAGCTGTGTAACACACCATAGACTTCTCACGCTGTCTGCTCGCCCTGAGTCAATAGACTCCTCCCGCTGTCTGCTCGCCCTGAGCAATGAATCACACACAATAAACTCCACACAACTGGCTGTTCGCCCTCAGCTATAAATCAGGTCTGACCAGATGAAAGCTGGATTCTAAGACTTCATCTCTCTTACTCCCTTTCCCAACCTCTTCCCCCCCTCTCGTAGCTGGACACAAGCCATTAATAAGTTATATCTTCTTTTTTCCCCTAAATAAACCTGCATTTGCGCAGGGAAAAGACTCGCACGGGCTTGCGTTCGTGTGTTTGAGCGCGGACAGTAGCTGTGGGTCGCGCTTCAGCGCTTATGGGCTCGCATCTACGCTTTCAATATTGAGCATGTGTTGGTATATGTGTCTGGGCGTATATAATTGTTTTGTTTACTGTATATATTGTGTGTGTGTGTGCAGGTGAGGGCGCGGGACAAGGACGCCCAGGACAAGAGGGGACTCCTCTACACCCTGAGGGGAGACGGGGTTGACGGCTACACCCCCGCCGACGCCTTCTTCGCCATCAATCCCCGCACCGGAGAGCTCATCCAACTGAGGGTAAGTCAGGGGGAAAATATCTTAGACATTTAAATTGGCACTGGAGAATTAAGGGGGGGGGGTGGAATACCTAAGCAATTTGGTCCTGACACTCTCGCTGAAACCCGTTCGCTGTCAACCCAGGCTCGGTAGCGTTGATCCCAGAAGGGTTATTGTGTTTAAAGTGGCTGGACCATCCACACGAGTGGAAGAGAATCGCTCAAGTTGATGGGGAGAAAAGCTAGAGAGAGAGAGAGAGAGAGAGAGAGAGAGAGAGAGAGAGAGAGAGAGAGAGAGAGAGAGAGAGAGAGAGAGAGAGAGAGAGAGAGAGAGAGAGAGAGAGAGAGAGAGAGGAGAGAGTGAGGAGAGAGAGAGAGAGAGAGAGAGAGAGAGAGAGAGAGAGAGAGAGAGAGAGAGAGAGAGAGAGAGAGAGGAGAGAGAGAGAGAGAGAGAGAGAGAGAGAGAGAGAGAGAGAGAGAGAGAGAGAGAGAGGAAGTGGTTGTGTTGTAGGTATTCATCGTCAACTTTAAGAGCGACTGCAACATGATCTACTAAGAGGGTTCAGGAAACTAGTCTCAGTCTAGGAGCTCAGTGTTTACTGTACAGCAGTAGCAACTGTAGGGGCTCCATGACAAGTGGGATAATTTATGAGGGTGGAAAATGCTAAGCCAGTATAACTACATGACACTAGGAAGGATTATGAGGATAAACAGCTGAGATAGGATGGAAGGAAGGGATGGCAACCAAGCAATTTGACCGTCGGGGATCGAACGCCGACCTGCAAGAAGCGAGGGCTCTGCTGTACCGACGGGTCAAAAATAGATAGGCTTCACAAGAAACCTTCAAATAAATTTACTGCAATACGTTTGCCAGGACTGTAAAAGCTTTCACTGCAATCCCAGATTAGCCTTAAAGTCTGCGGTCAAGCGGTGAACGACTCTGATTCGCAGCGAGTCTATATTGGATGTGTATACGTGTTAACTGTGTGAATATCATAACAAAGTCAGCATTGAAAGCATACATCTAGAGAAATCAACTTTCATAATTATAAGCTTCCAGTTGGATAGGTATCCTCTTGCACAGTTAAATATATGTTCTTGGGCACAATGGTGTTTCTCAGTTGCGTGATACAGTCTCCTATGTGCAACAATGTCTATGGCTCTCTGGACATCCAGAAGATACAGTATAACCCTCCTTTCCTTCCCTGCGTCATCATTGAAATCTTGTCATATAATTCTAGCTGGCTTATCAGAAATGACTTCCATTCTGTGAACCCGAGAGAAGAGAACATTATTAGGGGAAAGCGCCAAGTCATTACGACTATATAGCACTGGGAAAGGGGTTAGGATAAGGATTTGGGATGGGACGGAGGGAAGGAATGGTGCCCAACCACTTGAACGGTCGGGGATTGAACGCCGACCTGCATGAAGCGAGACCGTCGCTCTTACCGTCCAGCCCAAGTGGAACCCGAGTTGAAGTTGAGTCACATATTTGTGATTACGCCAGGTGTTTTTCTTTAGTTGTTCTTCTTTAGGTGTTCTTCTTTAGGTGTTCTTCCAGTCTCCTGATTAATTTATATTGTGTGTTATAGTGTGTTCATATCAACACTGTAGATTATTGATAGAAACTTGCACATAGCTTAAGAGGCAGCCTTTAGAATCCACGTCTCCACCTTCACTGTCCCTACTGTAGTAGACAGGGAACTGGAAGTGTAAACAAAATGAACAATTCTTTAACAAAAGGAACAATCAAGAGGACTGTGGCCCATGTTTACATATTTCTGGCCGTCAGGGGGGGTATCAAGAGGTGCGGAGAAGCCCCCCACACAATAAAGGCAACAATGGCTACAGCTTAAACGTTGTTGCCACAGCCGGCAATAGCGAGAGTGAAAAGGATGAGAACTCATAAAAGCGTTATCTAGGCACTTGAAGCTGTCAAGTCCAGAGTGAGTAATTGAAGCCAGAACTGTTTGGGAGAGTCCTGGAGCCGGGGCACACTCAGGGCGAAGCTTGGGAACTTCTACAGTTAACAATTCAGCAGTTTTGGGGCCTATGAACGGTCGTACAGGCCTCTTGATTGGCTTTTTTTTTTATTTGGATCCCTTTTGATTGGCTGTTCCTTTTGGGGCGGAGCTTAATTTCCTCAGCTGGTAGAAATATTTGAGGAACAGGTTAGTCTGTTTTGGAAAAATGTGCAGTGTGCATGCCGGCCTGGGCGTGGGTACACGTGCCTGGCAGGGCGTGGGTACACGTGCCTGGCAGGGCGTGGGTACACGTGCCGGCCAGGGCGTGGGTACACGTGCCTGCCAGGACGTGGGTACACATGCCTGCCAGGGCGTGGGTACACGTGCCTGCCAGGGCGTGGGTACACGTGCCTGCCAGGGCGTGGGTACACGTGCCTGCCAGGGCGTGCGTACACGTGCCGGCCAGGGCGTGGGTACACGTGCCTAGCAGGGCGAGGGTACACGTGCCTAGCAGGGCGTGGGTACACGTGCCTGGCAGGGCGTGGGTATACGTGCCTAGCAGGGCGTGGGTACACGTGCCGGCCAGGGGTAGAAGGTGTAACTGAGCAAGTAGCAGTTGCCACACAAAAAATAATTGTATAAATCTGGTGGAAAATTCTGGTTCGAGATCAAGATACTCCATTATAGGGACGCAGGTTCGATCCCGTTGTATATCGTCATGACTTTCCTATAAATAACATTCTTGTTTGTCGTGCATGTTTGATTCCATGAATGCACTTCCCTCTGTGTTCACCGTGAGATTATATATTTTTCTTCTTTCACACGATGCAGGCCTTGGACCGAGACCCACCGCGAGGCCGGCAGGTATGGAAGGTACGGGTGCAGGTCCGGGACGCCCAGGTCCACTGGGTGCCTGAGAGAGACGATCTCTTCCTTCAAGTTCTTCAAGGAGCCCAGGATCATCACCTTCCCCAAGCTCGAGTCCAGAGGGATATCGGAGGCCCCAGCGAGGGAGAACTGAGTGGGATTATATCGGAGAGGAGAGGTATGGAGGGGGATTTTGATGGTCTGGTAGCCGTCAAGGTTTCCAGTGGAGGAAAAGAAATGGAAGATGGAAAAACGTCGATTGAAAAGATAACGGCGGTGGAGCATCCAGCGGGGCAGAGTGCACCTCAAGATAGTTTGGGGGTAATGTATTCCTGGGACTCGAGGAGTGACAGGTGGGGACTTTTGACTGCGGGAGAAAAGCACAGAAATGGAAATTGGGAAAAAATCGGGCAGTACATCGGCAGCAAAAATACTGTGCCCAACATACCTCTACACATTCGGAAGCAAAACCATGAAATTTTCAGAAATTTCCCCGTGTCCCCTGAGGAGGGGAGAGGGCTGGGGCTCATACTACACAGAGTAAGCAGCTCGCAAAAAAAGCAAGGACGTTACAAAAACCTTCCACCTGGACCCACAGACAGCGTAGGTGAGAGAAATGTTCAGTACTATCACGAGAACACTGAAACAAAGTCGAGCGCTGAGAGTTTAACGAGAGTTGCAAAGCCCAGTAAACGCCTGTTAAGCGGATATAACGCTAAAGACAATCCCCATAATTTAGGGCAATTGGCCAATCACGAGAACCACCCAATCGATGTGCGCACGACTGAACCAGCAACTTCAATAGCGAGCACAGATCATATTTTTAATCAACAAAATCTTCTAATTATTACAAATGATAACAGAGTTTCGTTAAATAAGATTCCAAACATCAATAATGGGTGGAAAGGACGGACCCTATCTTCCTGGAGAACTACCACCGCGAAGAGAAGTTTGAGGCAAGGTCAAAGGTCAACTCCAAGCTTCACTTCTGGTTCGACTATCTCGCTAAACACCACCTCCACAACCAAGACGAGTGTGTCCTCAGAATCGAACGCCAAAGAAATAGAAGAGAGAAATGTAGTTAGGAAACTTAACAGAATAGTTACGAAATCCCCAAACACACAATCAACACCGGTGGAAGATGCATCTGATAATATTAGAATTATGGATTCATTTCCAACTTCAGCCATGAATAACCTCACACTCGGAATAAAAACCGAGCCAGAATATTCCGAATATTCTTGGCTTTCACATCCCGAGCAAAAATTCTCTACTTCATCGTGGAGTTCGGAGCCTGCATCAGGTTTGAAGACGCCGCTATCCTCATTTGCATTACAAAAGTTTGCGCACAGGACTGAAATGAATATATACCATGAAGAGACCTACCGTAAAACACTTGCGCCGAGATATCGCAAAGTTAATGGTACTTTCTCACCAGTAAGTAACCAGCCCGAGTCAGCCCTCAGCAGGCAAGGAAACCCACGAGAACTACACCCAACCTTACTTACGAAAGAGAAGTCCATCATAGTCAACGACAAATCAAAGAGAAACTCTGAGTCTATTGCAAGATTATCTCGTGATGCTTTGGTCGGTGACGATTCGAGGAGAAGGTTTGTTGCTGATTCGCGCTCCGCTATTGCTCAAGAATTCCACTCCGATAGTTACCATCATGGTAAATCCTCCAGGGGACCCAGAGGCGTCTTCATTACTCCTAACGACCACTACGGAATGGACGACTCTGGCGAAGGCGACGGTGGCGGGGGAGGAGGAGGCTGTGAGGACGTGACTGTCTTTGGCGGGGAGTTACAGAACAGGAACATGACCGGAGGTGGACGACTGGGCGGTGACGACGGGCCTGGCGGGCGCCGGCGTGGTGGACGGGTAGGGCGTGTGCACGTGGTGGAGACAGTGGTGACCCTGTTGGTGAAGGACATCAACGACAATCCGCCCGTCTTCCCCAACACGACCATGTTCGGCGAGGTGCAGGAGAACGGCCCTATTGGTGAGTACTGTTATTCGTTGACCTCCTCCGCAATGTTGACTTCTTAATTAAGGTATTTTTATTCTCATATTTGACTTCCTCTGTACATACTCCGTATCACGAGACTCAGAAAACTGGTCACAACGTTTTCATGAATCCCCAGAGCAATTCAAAGGTTTCTTGATTGATTTTCAGGACCGATAGGAAACAAAGCGTCCCCCCTAAGACTATATTGTTTTCTTAGCAGCATATTAGAGTTCCCTGGGAAGTTTAAATACCCGACGGTACTCCGAACTCGAATATGAAGTAGAGATGATTTTTTGCTGGGGATCTGGAAGCCAGAAATGTTGAGAATATTCTGGCTTTGTTTTTGTCCCGGATTTGAGGTTATTCATCCACCAAACAAAGGAAAAATATATATATATATATATATATATATATATATATATATATATATATATATATATATATATATATATATACATAAACATACTTCAATATCAGTTCGTTAATTTGCCACCACTGTACCTCACTGTGAGAAAAATGAATAATACTCATCCTCATCGAGTAAGGAATCAAACTTACCTGATAGCTGAAACTTGCCTGCTCGCTGAACCCTGATGAGTAGAACAGGAAACTCGTGAAAAATAAAAAATGTTGTCACACAAATGCACTTGTAAATTAACACAAAAATGCGTGATATCTGCAGCGACAGACAGCTATCGCGTGTAATTGACCGTATATTCAAGAGTCAAGGAAAAGTGATTAACATTACGGGACTTACGAAAGAGCTGATTGCAGTTATCTTGATTGGTCAATCTTTATATCTAACCTAATTGTATGATGGAAATGTATTAATCATCAGTTGTGAGTGATTATTTAACAAGGAGGTTATTACCTAAAGCTTACCATGACATCTGACTTGACACCTGTTCTTGCTCCAAGAACACCTGACTTGACACCTGTCCTTGGTCCCAAAACACCTGACTTGAAGCCATAAAAGAACCTACCCAAATATTCACTTTTCGTTTCTTGTGTTTTCAAAATAGTGGGTTATTATTACATTGATTAGTGCGCTATTGCACTTTATTCTCATCATTTGTTAAATTGAGCTGCATTGTGTTGTATAAACCACAAGGAGTGCCTGGTGGTGCTCTGGTCTGTCTGTCTGTCTGTCTGTCTGTCTGTCTGTCTGTCTGTCTGTCTGTCTGTCTGTCTGTCTGTCTGTCTGTCTCTCTCTCTCTCTCTCTCTCTCTCTCTCTCTCTCTCTCTCTCTCTCTCTCTCTCTCTCTCTCTCTCTCTCTCTCTCTCTCTCTCTCTCTCTCTCTCTATTTCTATCTCTCTCTCCTCCTCTCTCTCTCTCTCCTCTATCCCTCTCTTTCCCCTTCTCCACGTCTTTCTCATCTCCATGTTTCTCTCTCCTCCATATCTCTCCCTATTAGCTCGCGCTCTTCATTCCTCCTTGCGAAGATTTCGGGCGTCAATGTCCCCGCGGCCCGGTCCTTGTCCAGGCCTCCTCTCATAAGCGTCATATCTCTATTTCTATCTATCACTCTCTCAGAAAATGTAATATTACGAAATGGTAAAAACCACTCAAAAACTCCTCAGAAAAAATCCCGGATTTCTAACTTCACAAAAGTGCTGTAGAAGCCGATCTCTCTTAAAATGGGGGATGGGAAAGGAGTGGGGGGGGGGGTGGAGGGCAGTGTGGCCGACCCCGACCACCCTATGACCGTCCCATACTACACACGTGTTATCCTAAAAAGTTGGGTGAAGCTGGCATGCTAGAAGCAAGTCCCCCCTCTGAGCCTGCTCTCCAACCTTGGACATATGGGCAGGCATATCAACGACGACGACATACATTATATATATGTATATGTATATATATATATATATATATATATATATATATATATATATATATATATATATATATATATATATATATATATATATATATATATATATATATGCAATTGACGATCACAAAACACTGATCATTTTATGCGGAAAATCCACAGAGAAATATGAAATGAGGTGAACGTTTCGGCTTGTTATAGCCTTTGTCAACACCAGACTGACATTGAGTCAGTCTGGTGTTGACAAAGGCTATAACAAGCCGAAACGTTCACCTCATTTCATATTTCTCTGTGGATTTTCCGCACATATATATATATATATATATATATATATATATATATATATATATATATATATATATATAATATATATATATATATATATATATATATATATATATATATATTTTGGTAGCAGTCTTTCCTGTAGACATATATTATTAAATATGACCGAAAAAGTAAGATTAATAATTCTAACACGAAGAACTCTGTAGGGTAAGGCAGGTCCTAGTCAATAACGGCTTCTCCAATGGTTTCGTCGAAGACATCATAAGAAGGAAAGTGAAAAGCCATGCAACCTCTGAAGAGACAACTAACACAACACCTATACCCCCTATTAGACTATTTTACAGGAACTTCTTTTCCACAGCTCATAAAACGGAGGAAAGGGTCCTGAAAGATATTGTTAATAGAAACGTTATCCCTACAGACAAAAATCAGAGGATACAACTGACGATTTACTATAAAACCAGAAAAACGGCCAGCCTACTCATGAGAAACTCTCCAGACACAAAACAGAACGCTTTAAAAGAGACTAACGTCGTCTATGCCTTCAAATGCCCACTTGGGGACTGTAAGCTCCAAAAAACCCAGTATATAGGCAAGACAACAACATCTCTTTCTAGGCGTTTAACGATGCATAAGCAACAGGGCTCCATTAAGGAACATATAATCTCTTCCCACAACCAACCATCGCCAGAGAAATCCTAGTAAACAACACAGAAACCATCGATAGATACAGCGATAGCAGGCGGCTTGACGTTTGCGAGGCACTACACATCAAGAAGTCAATACCAGCAATCAACAGCCAATTATTGCACAACTATATTCTACCCACCTCAAGACTCCGCTCCAATATAGAAGCATCAAGAAATATGGACCAATAGGCTTTCTACAAACACTTCTATTCAATATCCATTGCTTCGTGTTCTGTCTTGTGTTGATGAAATTAATACCCTATTAATACTCTTGTTCTGTCTTGTGTTGATGAAATTAATACCCTATTAATACCACATTTTGTTCTGTCTTGTGTTAATGCCACATCACCCCTTCCACCTCACTCAAATGTAGATATAAAATCGGAGATACGTAAGTTCTATTCATTTGTGTATTTGTGAACTAAAGTCTTTGAAAATGTAATAAGTTTTACGAAACGCGCCCGTGTCGCGTCAGACTAGAAATAAAAATGAATTTTGGAGAATTGATTTTTGATTTACCTCCAACAGTGAAGCGTAATGTACGAAAGATTGAGAAAATTCGTGTTAGAATTATTAATCTTACTTTTTCGGTCATATTTAATAATATAATATATATATATATATATATATATATATATATATATATATATATATATATATATATATATATATATGATCACATGATATAGCATTCCTATATCAATAGTAAAGAGTAACTGCGATGGTGTTTAGTCGATATTCCTGTAAGGCTTACAATTATATTAGGAAGAGCAGCACAGAGAAGGCCGAGCACTCGCTTACACACACACAGACTACATCAGCAATTAGCGTAATGTGTAAGGCTCTCAGACGTAACACGTAATGAGATCCGGATTAATGTTTGTACGGAAACATACGATGTAATCCGTGAAGATTACGAGATCACCCGCAAGGAGAATGAAGGAGGGAGGGAGAAAGTGGAAGGGAAGGATGGAGGAAAGGAGGGGAAGGGAAGGAGGGATGGAGGGAGGGATGGATGGTTGGGTGGAGGGGAGGGCAGAGGGAATGAGTGTGGCAAGGGTGTTCTGGAGGCATAAACTGAGCTAGCATGGTAATGACGATGCGCTGTTCACTAAGTTTGGCTATTCTGGGTATGAGGGGTCGTTCTTCTTTTCTGGGGGCTTATCCTCATCCCCCCTGCTCTCTCTCTTTCTCTCTGAATGCTTTCCCTGATTATTTCTCTTCATTATCTCTCTCTCTCTCTCTCTCTCTCTCTCTCTCTCTCTCTCTCTCTCTCTCTCTCTCTCTCTCTCTCTCTCTCTCTCTCTCTCTCTCTCTCTCTCTCTCTCTCTCTCTCTCTCTCTCTCTCTCTCCTCTCTCTCTCTCTCTCTCTCTCTCTCTCTCTCGTCTCTCTCTCTCTCTCTCTCTCTCTCTCTCTCTCTCTCTCTCTCCCTCTCTCTCTCTCTCTCTCTCTCTCTGGAATTGTCTCTCTCTCTCGAACCTCTCTAGAAGTGGGCATGTGTATGCCCACGTTTCGCGTTCTTAGCGCGCACGTTCCGTGTTCTGAGTGTCCACCTTCCGTGTTCTGAGTGTCCACCTTCCGCGTTCTGAGTGTCCACCTTCCGCGTTCTGAGTGTCCACTTCCGCGTTCTGAGTGCCCACCTTCCGCGTCTGAGTGTCCACCTTCCGCATTCTGAGTGTCCACCTTCCGCGTTCTGAGTGTCCACCTTCCGCGTTCTGAGTGCCCACCTTCCGCGTTCTGAGTGTCCACCTTCCGCGTTCTGAGTGCCCACCTTCCGCGTTCTGAGTGTCCACCTTCCGCGTTCTGAGTGTCCACCTTCCGCGTTCTGAGTGCCCACCTTCCGCGTTCTGAGTGCCCACCTTCCGCGTTCTGAGTGTCCACCTTCCGCGTTCTGAGTGCCCACCTTCCGCGTTCTGAGTGTCCACCTTCCGCGTTCTGTGTGTCCACCTTCCGCGTTCTGAGTGCCCACCTTTCGCGTTCTGAGTGTCCACCTTCCGCGTTCTGAGTGCCCACCTTCCGCGTTCTGAGTGCCCACCTTCCGCGTTCTGAGTGTCCACCTTCCGCGTTCTGAGTGCCCACCTTCCGCGTTCTGAGTGTCCACCTTCCGCGTTCTGAGTGCCCACCTTCCGCGTTCTGAGTGCCCACCTTCCGCGTTCTGAGTGCCCACCTTCCGCGTTCTGAGTG